GACTCCCTTCTGCCTGCTCCTTCTCCAAACACTGAGCAGACAAACTCCCTGACAGAGCGTCGTGAGCTTGCATCTCGTCCTGCCTCGCCTGTTCGTGCTGTTCGTCGTGCTCATCGTGTTCGTTCTCTGCCTATCCCCGGCACGCACACTATGGAACTTCGTCCTTCCTCTGTTCCACAGCGTGTTGCCCTGCAGTCTCCTCCTGCGTCCTCTCTTTCTGACGTTCTGGACCCTGAGTCTGGCCATGCTCGTGCTGCTAGTTCGACTGTCAGTCGTTTCTGGCCACACTTGTCGCTGACCCTACTTTTGAGTCTGCTGCTGCGTCTGCCTTTGTCACTGAGCTTATTGACTTTGCTGGTGCCTGCCGTCTTCACTATATCGCTCGTCTTGTTTCTGAGTCTGATTGCCATTCGTCCATTAGGGGTGAGCTTGCCCTTGGCTGTGACGTCCTTGAGGACAGGCAGTTTGAGCTTGAATGCTTTGCGGTTGCTGTACCTCATCTCGATGCCGTGTTGCTTGCCCCTGAGGGAGACCCGGATGCACCAGACATCCCGACCCCGCGCTCTTACGCGGAGGCAATCTTGGGTCAGTACTCCTGTCAGTGGCAGACAGCCATGGATGCAGAGATGGCATCCTGATGTGAGAATAGTAGGCAGAAGGAGGAGCCATAGCTAGGGTTTAGCTAGCTAGGCAAGAGAAAATAGGCAAAGGAGAGGGGGTGCACAAGCAAGCACGTGGATACATATAGGAAACCCTAAGGGGCCGTACTCACTATAGAGTACCCCACTGTAGGCTAGACAAACTACACATTCCGACACACCCCCATAGTCAAAATGGGGTATGATCAGCACAACAAGCAGCAGTTTATAGTTCACAAATATAAGCAAAGCTAGAAGCTATCACAGAGGCCAAGTGTGGAGGAGGAGGGACTATGAGAGGAGAGGAGGTAGTGGGCGGCAGCTGAAGCTGCTGGCACACGACGCAACTGGAGCAACTGGCACTCGGGAAACTGGAGCAACTGGCACACTGGCAACTGGAGCAACTGGCACACGGGCAACTGGAGTAACTGGCTCCGCAGCTTGACGAGCGGCAGGAGCAACTGACTCTCGGGCGACTGGAGCAACGGGCTCACGGGCAACTGGAGCGACGGGCTCACGGGCGACTGGCGCAACGGTCTCACGGGCGACTGGAGCTGCTGGCTTCACGGCGGCCACCCCCCTTCAACCTCCCCCTTTGTCCCAAAACTCCCGTTCACACCCCCTGATGCACCCCTAGCTTCACTCCCACGACACCCCCCTAGCACCACTCCTTCGGCTCCCACACACCCACCCCCCTCAGCGGCAGCTGCAGTAGTGGGAGACGGAGGAGGAGGAGGGGGGGACGGTTCACACACCCGCCACCACCATACCCGCCACCCCCATACCCCCAATGCAAGGCAAAAACGCGGGCAGCAGCTGGGGCGGCGTGTGAGCAGAAGCGGGGCGGCGCGCGGGCTGTTGGATGCACGTCATTTTGAGTGCATGTCATCCTAACGTCCTGCCGAGTGCTCGTGCTATTCATGCGTGCATTGTTTGCATGAGCATTTGTCATTATGCATGGCTGTTGGATTTTACCATCTCTGTGTTTTCTCCAAGTTTAAATGCTTGATCATGCAGGAGAAATCCAGAGCTTTCCAACGATACCAAGATCGCCTTATTCGGACCAAGATCGCCCAAGTTACAAGATTTCCAAGACTTGGATTTCTTATTACCTTTTAAGGTTATATCTAATTTGGGTGATTACTTGGGACATGACTATAAAGGGATCTTTGGTTGGGTGGTTAGGGAAGGCAACTTTGACTTTTGGATTGGGGTGGCTAGAAGTTTCTAGCATGGGTTGCAAATGTTGCAACACCTAGGCAAAATCCAAGTAGATTGGATTTTGCATGTGACACCTCAAGGACCTCATGATGAGGGTTGCATCCTTGCTGCTAGAAAGGTTCCTACCATCCTTCCCTAGCTCTTGGAGAACCCCTTCCCTCTCATGGTTCTCTTGGAGTCCCCAACTCCAACATTCTATGCCTTAATGTTTGTACTTCCTCTACCATTCTAGTCATGCGGCTGCTGGACGTTTTTACTTGGTTCTCACTCTATAGACCATCTTAACGACTGATTCAACTTGGAGATGGTAGCTTAGGCTAAGGCGCACAATCCTGCTGAGCGGATTTAAGTTTAGTTGAGAATTGAGTTCGTCGTAAGCTCTCAAATTGACGGATCCTGAACAACAAGTGGTATCAGAGCGGGTAGTCGACTTTGAGACGACGAATCGTCGTGACTTCTCAGCCAATGTTGGCGAGTGAGACCAGTTTCTAGTAGCTCTGCTCGCGAACTTTCGATTGGTGGTCCAAACGCGTTCTAATTCGAAGTATCCAGTCCGCGACGGCGTTTTTTGTAGAATCAAAACTTCCGGCAGAATTCTCTCCAAACGATTTCTCAAGTTTCCACCGTTCGTAAGGCCTCAATATGACTGGAACGGACTCTAGAGGTGCTAATGGCGAGATGGCTAGAGCTAGAGAGGCTGGAGAGCAGGGGGGAGTTGCTGGTGGTGGAGTGGGGAGTCACCAACCAGCCAACCCTATGCTACCTACTTCTTCTACACCATCTCCTACTACCGTGGATCCTGTGAAAGCTTTCTCTATTGAGAAATTCATGGGGGTGGACTACGAGCACTGGAGTTTCCGCATGAGGCTGATGTATACCCAATACAAGCTATTGGATCTGGTGGAGGGGAAGGAGAAGATGCCGGAGGCCGCGGAGCTGAAAGGAGCATGGATGAAGCGATCGTTCGACGCGTACATGCTCATGGTGCAAGCGGTTGGCGGACGACAACTTGACCACATCAAGGACCTCTTAGGTGATCTAGAGTGTGGCCCCAAGGCTTGGAGGAAGCTTCTGGATGTGCACTCACCGACACATGCTACCGGCATCGTGCTACTCGCGCGGCGGCTGCGCGACATCAAGTTCGTTGATGGAGAGCCGATGCAACCGGTGTTGGATGAGATGCGGGACATCTTCACGAAGCTCCAAGGCGGCGGTGTGGTGTACCCGGAGCTCGTGCAATGCGTGGAGATCGTGATACGGCTGTCGGAGTCGTGGTCTGCCCTAGCGATCAACCTCAACTCTCAACAGCCCCAGTGGAGTGTGGATTACATTCGCGCGTGCATCCTTGAGGAGGACTTGCGGCGGCGGAGTGTGGAGCGCTCGGAGCAGGGGGCTGGCTATGGAGTTGGAGGTGGAAAGAGTGGCTTCAAGAAGAAGTGGAAGGGCAAGAACAAGGACTACCCTAAGGAGGATGGCGGCGGGGGTCAAGGGGAGGTGTGCTTCTACTGCAAGAAGCGCGGACATCGTTGGCGGAAGTGCTACCAACGACCCAAGGATTGGACCCCGCCTTCATCGAGCAACCTGCATGGTGGCAAGAGGAGTGGGGGAGTCATGGGAGCTAGTGGAGAGGAGAAGGATGAGGAGAAAGGCGGCAAATCTGAGGAGCGGAAGGCTGGGTTCTTCTTCTTCGTGAACGAAGGCGCAACCGACCTTGCTATGGCTGCCAAGGTTCTCCTACATCCCCTCACCCATTGGGTGATAGATTCCGGGAGCTCTTGGCACATGACTCCTCGCGCGGACCTACTCGATGAGATTCAGCCCGCACCCATCTCTACAGTCACATCCGCGACGGGCGCCAAGGCCAAGGTCATGGGCATGGGATGCGCCAAGTTCATGGGAGCGGATGGAGAGCTCGTGGGGCTGAAGAACGTGCTGTGGGTGCCGGACTTGTGCGCGAACCTGATTTCTACCGGCCGGTTGGGAGATGCGGGTGTGAACACCAAGACGATTGGCTCGGAGCGCTATCGTGCCTACAACGATGAGCGGCTGATTTGGGACCTGCAGTGGAAAGGGGATGTCTACAAGCGGATGTGGCAGATCCCGGTACTCCCTTGGCGGAAATCGGGCAAGGCGGCAGCGGCGGCATCTATGGAGGAGAGTGTCACCGAGGAGGAGCAGCAAGGTGTGCAAGGAGAGGAGCTGATTGGAGGAAGCGTGGCAGTGAAGGTGTCGGCTACCTCGGGCCTAGCGGATTGGGAGACTTGGCATCGGCGGCTCGCACACGTGGCTGTTTCCACATTGGAGGTGATGCACAAGGAGAAGTGCGTGCATGGGCTGCAACTGCAAAGAGATGGCGCTCACTATGGCAGCTGCGAGGCGTGCATGCAAAACAAGTTTGCGCGGTTCCCGTTTCCACGTGCGGAGGGATCGGCGAAGGCACCCTTGGAGGTGGTGCACATGGACCTGGTGGGTCCTATGAGGACTGAGGGGACTGGGGGAGTGCTGTACTTCCTCACCATGGTGGACGAATGGAGCCGTTTCACGTGGGCACGTCCCCTGTCCAAGAAGAGCGATGCTGCAGCGGCGATCAAGGAGGATTGGTTGACGATGGTGGAGCGGCAAGCGATGCGGCTGGTGAAGGTGCTGATGAGTGACCGAGGTGGAGAGTTCCTTGGAGCGGAATTCACCAAGTTTCTCAAGAAGAACGGCATTCGACACCAGCTGACCTGCCCAGGAACACCGCAGCAGAACGGCATTGCTGAGCGTGCCAGCCGGACCATTGGCGAGGCGGCTAAGACCTTGTTGGGGGCTGCTGGGATGCCCTACAAGTTCTGGCCTGAAGCTGTTCGCCATGTCATCACGGTCAAGAACAGGGTCTTGACACATGTTGGCGACAAGCATTGGGTGCCGTACGAACGTTGGCTTGGGAAGAAGCCATCCATTGACATGCTGCGGGTGTGGGGCTGCATGGGGCTTGTGATGGTGCCTAAGGAGCAGAGGCACAAGCTGGAAGTTGCTGCTGTGTGGGCTGTCCATCTTGGGATGGCTCCTGACTCGAAGGGGTGGTTGATATGGGACCCCAAGAGAAAGAGGACGCTGGTCAGCCGTGACGTCAAGTTTGTGGAGGACGTCATGTACAAGGACTGGCAGCAGCAGCAGCAGGTGCAGATTGGCTTGCGTCTGCAGGAGATTGAGCGGTCTGCAGTGGAGGAGGTTCAGCTGCACCTTGAGGATCTCCCTGGGTCAGAGCTGACCAGTGACCACAGTGGCGGTGGAGAGCAGCAAGTTTCTGGTCCTGCTGCAGAGGAGGGGTTGGAGGATGAGTCGGCACGTGTGGACTCACCATCTCAGCCCGAGCCTGCTGCAACCGCCAAGGTCACCAAGAGGAGTGTGCAGAGAGGAGCTTCACCACATGGGCAGCAGATTGCAACCCGCGAGAAGAGAGTGGCAGCAGCACCCTCAAGGCTGAAGTATAGCCGTTTGGGATGACCCAAGCAAGGTGCCATGGCGGTTCAGGCGGATGAGGGAGAGGATGAGGAGATGGCCTTCTGTTTCTTCACACCCTTGCCTGGAGAACCAGCCACAGTGGAGGAGGCACTCAGTGGACCCCAGAAGGAGGAGTGGAAGGCTGCCATGGATGCGGAGTTCAATAGTCTCATTGAGAATGGGACTTGGGAGCTTTTTGAGTTACCCGAGGGGCGACGGCCGATCAGCAGCAAGTGGGTCTTCAAGGTGAAGATTGGAGCTGATGGTGCGTTGGAGCGGTTCAAGAGCCGCTTGGTCGCCAGGGGGTTTCAGCAGAAAGAGAAGGTCGACTTCGGGGAGATCTTCGCTCCCGTTGTTAAGCCAGTGACATTGAGGACTGTGCTGGCTGGCGCCGCTGTGAAGGGATGGCACGTGAAGCAAATGGATATCACCACTGCATTTCTCAATGGAATACTGCTGGAGGATATCTACATGGCGCAGCCCGACGGCTATGAGGATGGGACCAGCCGGGTGTGCAAGCTCAAGAAGGCTATCTATGGCCTTAAGCAAGCGCCCAGGTGCTGGTACGAGAAGATGGAGGAGGTGCTGCTGAGTGGAGGCTTCAAGACGTCCCAAGCGGATCACAACTTGTTTCTGCTTGGAGAGGGGGAGCAGCTGCTCTTGCTGCTGGTGTATGTCGACGACATACTGCTGTTCTCACCTTCCATGGAGCAGATTGAGAGGACATAGAAGCTGCTGATGGACAACTTCAAGTGCAAGATGCTGGGGGATGTCCACTACTACTTGGGGCTGCAGATTGAGAGGGATGTCGAGAGGAGGTGGCTGAAGGTGCATCAGTCACACTACATCTCTGGTGTCATGGAGCGCTATGGTGTGACTGGGGGTCGCACTGTGATGACGTCGTTCCCTGCAGGCTTCAAGCTGAAGAAGGCAGCTGAGGAGGATGATGTGCTTGAGGATGAGCAGTGGAATGAGTACCAGTCACTCATTGGGAGTGTGATGTATGCAGCTGTGCATACGCAACCTGATGCTTCATTCGGAGTGGGGCAGCTGGCCAGAGTTGTGCAGCGGCCCACTGAGGAGCAGTTGGAGGTGGCAAAGCGCTTGGTGCGCTACCTCGGATCAACGGCATCTGCTGGTGTTCAGTCTTCAGCTGACGGCCAGCTGAAACAGATTGGAGCAGATGGGGTAACGCCTGGAACCTTGAAGCTGTCGTGCTTCACCGACGCTACATGGGCCTCAGAGGATGAGGATCAGTCATCAGTTGGCGGCTTTGTGTGCATGGTCGGAGGTGGACCAGTGAGCTGGAGGTCCAAGAAGCAGAGTGAGATTGCTCAGTCTTCCGGAGAGGCAGATTACATGGCGATGTACCATGCCATCAAGGAGATCGTGCTCCTGAGGAAGCTGCTGGAGGACATGGGAGCTGAACAGGAGGGACCTACACCACTTTTCTTTAACAGCGAGGCTGCTATTGGCATGGCCAATAATCCTATCCTGAATGGGCTGAACAAGCACATGAAGATTAAGTGGCACTGGGTGAGGCAGATGGTGAGGGAGGTATTGTTGAGCTTCACCATGTGAAGGCTAGCAAGCAGGCGGCAGATTTTCTCACCAAGAGATTTCCCGAGAGCGCACATTGGAAGTGTGCTAAGATGTGTGGCATAGCATTGCACTAGTGTGGGCAGCTGTGTCATGAGTGCATGTGTGAGTGTGTGTGCATGCAGTCCGTTAGTCTGAGGGGGGGTTTGTTGGATGCACGTCATTTTGAGTGCATGTCATCCTAACGTCCTGCCGAGTGCTCGTGCTATTCATGCGTGCATTGTTTGCATGAGCATTTGTCATTATGCATGGCTGTTGGATTTTACCATCTCTGTGTTTTCTCCAAGTTTAAATGCTTGATCATGCAGGAGAAATCCAGAGCTTTCCAACGATACCAAGATCGCCTTATTCTGACCAAGATCGCCCAAGTTACAAGATTTCCAAGACTTGGATTTCATATTACCTTTTAAGGTTATATATAATTTGGGTGATTACTTGGGACATGACTATAAAGGGGTCTTTGGTTGGGTGGTTAGGGAAGGCAACTTTGACTTTTGGATTGGGGTGGCTAAAAGTTTCTAGCATGGGTTGCAAATGTTGCAACACCTAGGCAAAATCCAACTAGATTGGATTTTGCATGTGACACCTCAAAGGACCTCATGATGAGGGTTGCATCCTTGCTGCTAGGAAGGTTCCTACCATCCTTCCCTGGCTCTTGGAGAACCCCTTCCTTCTCATGGTTCTCTTGGAGTCCCCAACTCCAACATTCTATGCCTTAATGTTTGTACTTCCTCTACCATTCTATTTATGCGGCTGCTGGACGTTTTTACTTGGTTCTCACTCTATAGACCATCTTAACGACTAATTCAACTTGGAGATGGTAGCTTAGGCTAAGGCGCACAATCCTACCGAGCCGATTTGCGTTTTGTTAAGAATTGAGTTCGTCGTAAGCTCTCAAAGTGACGGATCCTGAACAACACGGGCCCCAAGGGCGCCTCGACGAGCGACGGGAGGGGGCGACGCGCGACCCCCCTAGGGCGCCGCTATGGGCGATGGGAGGGGTGACGCGCGGCCCCCCAGGGCGCCGCGACGGGCGACGGGAGGGGCGATGCGCGGCCCCCTAGGGCACCGCGACGGGCGACGGGCAGGGCGATGCACAGCCCCCCAGGGCTCCGCGACGGGCAATGGGATGGAGGGGCGAAGCGCGGGCCCCCAGGACTCCACGACGGGCGACGGGTAGGGCGACGCGCGGACCCCTAGGGCGCCGCGACGGGCGACGGGCAGGGCAGCGCGCGGGCCCCCAGGGCGCCGCGTGAGGCAGTAAACCGCCGTGCGCCCGCCACGCGCCCTGAGCGCGTGGCGGGAAGGAATAAGCGTCGCGCGCCACGAGGCGCGCGACAGACACGAAAGCAGCGGAAGCTTAGGGTGGGCCCACAGGTTAGGATCGAACGAGCTCTTAATACCATGTGAGAATAGTAGGCAGAAGGAGGAGCCATAGCTAGGGTTTAGCTAGCTAGGCAAGAGAAAATAGGCAAAGGAGAGGGGGTGCACTAGCAAGCACGTGGATACATATAGGAAACCCTAAGGGGCCATACACACTATAGAGTACCCCACTGCAGGCTAGACAAACTACACATTCTGACACTTGGAAATCCACAGGCACCTACGTCGACCTAGTTCCCCCTACAGGGGTGAACATAGTCGATGGCATGTAGATTTTCAGGGTGAAGCGGTCGCCGGATTCTCCGCCTGTCTTCAAGGCGCTTCACGTTGCACGACGCTTCAGACAGCGGCAAGGGATCGACTTCTTCCAGAAGATGACCACTCTTCGGGTGTTACTGCACATTGCAGCACAGCGTGACTACGAGCTGTACTTCCTCGACTTCTCCACTGCTTTCTTGCAGGGCAGCGTTCACGAGGAGATATGGCTGCGCCCACGCGGCTTCATTGGGTAATTTTTTTTAGGGTACCCAGTGGAGCCTACGGCGGCCAGTCTACGGTCTCCGCCATGCGTCCCGCGAGCGGCACGACACACTAAGGACTACACTTGCGGCTCTTGGGTTTGCTCCTTCGTCAACTGACCCGTCACTGTTGCTCCGCACTGACACTTCTCTGCCGCCGTTCTACAGCCTCGTATATGTCGACGACTTGGTCTTTGCTACTGCAGACACTGAGTCACTGGCCGTTGTGAAGGCGGAGCTGCAGAAGAGACACACCTGCACTGACCTAGGTGAGCTGCGTAGCTATCTTGGCTTGCAGATCACCCGGGACAGAGCAACGCGCACCTTCACTCTGAGTCAGTCACACATGGTGCAACAGGTCCTTCGGCGTTTCCGCTGTCGCCGCGCAGCCGGTCGCCGGTGTCCTAGCTGCGCCAACCCCGGATGACGCCTTGGCGCAGCTCGAGCTCGAGTCCGCCACCGGTGGCGGTGAGGCCCAGTGATGGTGGCGGGGGCTGCCGTCCTATCGACGCGGATGGCGTCCCCACAGGCTCCGACTCGGCAGAAATTTCCCGATCGGAGGCGGCGTCCACAGTCTCCCGATTGTCGCCCCTCTCGTCTTCAGTCCCCCTCGCCGCGTAATGAACGGGAGTCATCGCGGCGCTAGCATAAGTCTCCTCGGTGCCGCCAGTCGCAAGCGAGCTGGCCCACCCACCGTGGCGGTCGCGGTGGCTGGAGGGGAGGTCGCGGTCGCAGACGTGGCGGGGCGTATGATGTGGCGGGGATATCCAGTAGATAGTGTCGGAGGCGGTGCGTGATGCCCATGCCGGCACGGCAAGCCAAAGCAGCTCGCAGCGGGTGGCACCGTCGCCAGCTGCTCCCCCTCCCGATGCGCGTCCTATAGTTGCTCCGTTAACGGCTGCACCTCCTCCTGCTGCTCCGGCTGCCTCTGCCCCTACTCCCAGTGGGGAGGTAGCAAGTGCTTGCCTTCGGCTCCCCTGGGTCCCGCCGGTGGCAGGCATGGAATTCGTGGGCATGGGAGGAGGAGCGGTGAGGGCGCAATATCCTCCCCTCGTCGCTGTTGATCCCGCTCCCTCTGCCGCTGATGATCCGCTCCCCTCCCGGACCCGACCCGATTACCCTGTTTCCCGACCGGATTTTGGGTCGGGTCGAAGTCGGTCCGAAACCCAACCCGACCCAACTTTCACTGTCGGGTCGACCTGACTCGACCCGGCCGGGCTAGGATATTGAAGGTCCTGACCCGACCTGGGCAAAATCACGGGTCGGGTTGGGCCTCATGCCTTGTTCCGAAAAACAGATGCGTCAAACTCGGCGATGAACTTGCTGCGCGAGCAACGTCCAATCAGTTCCTTGAAAAAGTGGTGGTGTGAACACTAGTGAACTTGCTTGCTGCGCAAGCAGAGAACAATCGCTTGGACGCGAGAAACTTGCTGGTCAAACTGTCTGTAAGTAGATTTGACCGCTCCTATTGGTCGAGAAAATGACGCCCTTGAAGCCTTGATC